AAAAATATTATATCAATATATGTGTTTATTGTAAAATATGTAATCTCATTTTACAGACATAAACACCTCTTAAAATCCTTAGAAGAATGAGGTAGGATGTATATATATGTGGAAAGTATATACATTTGTATCCTTTTATAGATGGTAAATCTACCCAGAGGTGTGTTTCAGAAAACAGAACTGACACATTAAACAAAGATTCTTTGTACTGACCTCTGAAATACAACCACCTCTAACACATTCAATGGTAAGAACTTAGCAGTGTTTAAAAACCCTGTACACACACACACACGCACACATACACACATGCACAGAGAGAGAGAGAGACTTTATATATATGTAATTTACCAAGTCTAGGCTACAAGAGGAAACTGGCAAAAATTTGCTAATTGAAATGGAGCTTGGCCAAGACATTCATCTCTAATCCCCCTTTTTCTGATTCCAAATCAGGGAGAGTACATGCTTTGTGTTTTCTGGTAAAATACAGACCTATGTAACAATCAGTATATTTTCTCAGACCAGAGTAAGTAACTCCCAACAATGAGTGTTTGTCAGTCCTAACTGGTTTCTCTAGGTGGGTGGTGAAAAAATACCTTACTACATACAGACATTAATTCTTTCCCTCAAAAGAACCGTGTGTCTTGAGAAGCTCTGCTCCATCACAGGGCAATATCCCATTTTAAATACAGTGTTTACCGATGTTTGTCCATGAATGACGTCAACAAAAGTGTTTAAATCCCACCAGGAAAAGAGGGCTTAGTTGCCAGACTTTGGGAGACAGAGTTAGTTGATCTTTGTGCTCTCAAAGGTTCTGTTACTCAATTAAGTGACCAATCATTAACTCCAAAGTATTTAAGCCTAATAATGCAACAAAGGAGAGAACAATGGATAGTATCTTTAACATTAATCATCGTCACCTTTGGTTTAGCTGTTTCAGTCCTTTCCAACCAGAATTTACAAGTGTATAGATACAGGTATTCTGGAATATCAAAGGCATCTCCCTCCAGTTTGCAAACACAGGGAAAAAGAAGAAACTTACATCTGTAAACCTATGTAAATCTAGGGGGTTTCCTTTCAAACCTCGTTTTTTTGAAAGCAGGAAATACAATTTAAAACCAACTCTGTTTTTATCTACCAAAAGAAACAAAACTTTGAGTTCTGACATAAATCCTAAATGATTGTCTTGAATCTCATCCCGCTTCCTACCTAATCTTCTCACAAGAAGATTAAGGACTGTGGACTTGGTGCTGGAGGAAATAATTGCTCAAACACATTGGAATCCATTGGAACCCTTTGCAATATTAGTGCGGGCAGACAATATAATTCTAACATATTTCTTTCTTTACTCAGAGCCCAGAGCAAGAAGTCAGACTCTTGGAGACCTTCTCCCTGATGTACTTGCTCTTAACATTTCCAAGTTACAAACTGGGAACCGCTTCTATCTCAGAACACTAATTGTTGCTTCCATTGGTACCTTCCTATTTTTATATCACACTCACAACATCCTGTTTTAGGACTTTATGTATTTTCAGGATGGGTTTGGCAAAATTGTCAAGAAGTACTTAAAACAATTAGGTCACAGCTTTCAGCAGACAAAAAGAAAAAGACGTGGATGTTAGCTACAGAATCTGAGGTGATAGAAGAGATCTTTAAAACCCAGTTCTTCCAATATAGAGCAAAATGGGAGGACTTAAAATGCAGCTCTAAGTAGCACCGTCTCGTCTGCGCCAAGCTTGTCCAGGTCTCCAGCTCAGCCACTCCCTAAATAGGTGCTGAGCTTCCAGTCCCCGCCAGGTCCCCGCTAAGGCTCCTCATTGACGCACAGGAACCTCAGTGACACTCGCAGCCCTTCCATATTTGTCCCCATGAAATTCTATTAGTCTTGTCGAATGGCAGTATTTGCCATTCCAGGCGAACTCTTTATGATAGTCTGGAACGAAATTAATCTGTTAATTGACTAAAAATGATCTTTAGACTGACGTGAATGTATTTAAAAAGTCAACAAATGGAACACAGTATAAAGTCGTCTCATTTTTCTGATAAAAAGTTTGCTTGGAGTAAATGTTAACCTCTCCCTTGCCTCAAAACAAAAGTACTATGCCCCTCCTACCACTCCCAAGAAGCAAGCAAAAAAACTTAAAACAACAACAACAACAAAAAAAAACAAAAAAAACCCTTCAACAGCCTTTTAATAAGAGTGTTTAGCGCGGTCTGGATGCAACTCGGGTCAGCTCCAGACGCAGCCGGCCCGGAGCCCTCCGGGCCAGGCCACTCGGAGCTCTCGGCTAAGCCGGGCCCCGCCTTCCCCGCCCCGCCCCCATTGGCCTCGGTGGGTGGGGGCCTCGGCTGCGCCGACCGCCTGTGCGGCTGTACTGCAGTCTCCGAGCCCAGGAAGTCACACCCGTCTCGGGCTGGGAGCCGAAGCTCCAACCCACGTGGCGGCTGGCGAACCCAGCCGCTGCGGGTAGCGCCCGTTGCGGGTCCTCCCTTGGCGCGGGCTGAGCGAGTGGGGGCGGCTCCCAGACCCAGCCCCTTTGGGCGGGACTGGCCCACCTCCGCTCGTCTGGTTCTTTCCCACCCTTCCATCCCGACACGCCTCTGCAGTCACATTTGTTGCCGCTGGGAAAGAAAAAAGAGTATCCTAAAACGAGTCTCAAAATTCAGACCCAAACCCCGAAACGAACCCTTCCGGTCCGTTCCTGGCTGTTTGAATGCCGTCTGCCCCATCTCCGTTCCCTTCTTCTTTCCCTCCCCTCCACTGTCCTCTTTCCTTCCACTTCCCTTCCTTCCCTTTCTTTTTTCCTCCCGCCGCCCGCCTTCTCTCAACTTTCGCGTCTGACGCGCGCCCTTAAGTTGAGGAAGTTTAAGTTTTGGATTAGAAGCCCTTCTTTTGCAATATCCTGGGGCGGGGCCCTAGCCTTGGGTTCAAGTGGTTATGGGTTTTGAGAGCGCGGCATTTGTATTATCTTTCTTAAAGACGCACAGGGTGGCGCGTCGAGACCTCTGAAACCTGGCCCCACCCAGGCCATGTGCGTTAGTCCACTAAGCGGCGAACTCGACTCAGGGCGCCGCGTGCGTTCCAGCCGACTCGCGAGAAGGCGTCTCTGCACTTTGCACATACCAAGACCTTTTTTCAGGGTCGTCCAAACCCCTAGATGTACGCCGCAGATTGTGGAGTGCAAAATGAATGACTTAAGGGGAAACTAGGGCCTTCCATCCTTGAACACAAGGTTGTGAAAGCTGCTCGCTAGGTCTGGGGGGCTCGTTTTTCTCAACCCGTGCGGGACTTGTCCATTAGGGGGCGCCCACACCCGCCGCAAAACTCCCAATTCCTAGACATCTAGGTTCTGCAAGTCCTGTGCGCTGAAGTGGGGGCAGATCCGAAGGAGCGCACCGCCTCCCTCGCTCCTCCCTCCCTGCTGCCTTGGAGGACGGGGAAGGCAGGGATTTCACACTAGCCATTCATTTGTCAGCTGTGGGGGAGGGGACGCAGAAGCTAGAGAGACAGAACAGAGGCTGGGAGAGGGGAAGGGAGGCAGAGAAGATGGAGACAGAGGGAGACACAAAGATGAGAAACGCGACCGAGAGAGACTCTGCCGCGGGTGTGCGCACAGCAGGACAACTCTCCAGGCACCGTGTAGATTTCTCCCCCTTCCCGCAGCATCTTCCAGGGACATGCAGGACTTGCCGAGACGCAGTTGGATTGGAGAGCAAATAGTTTAGGCTATGACACTATTTTTGTACCCCGCTCTCCGTTGCCTAACACCCAGACCGCTCCACGCCCAGTGACACAGACCACGAGCCAGGACAACCCGGATGCCCTCGGTCCGCATGCACCAGGGATGTCGCCCTACAACGCCCACGCCTCTGCAGGACAGTGGGGCGCTCCAGCCAAGGACGTCCCCCGGGGCTCCCGGCACACGCGCGCGCCGCTGCCGCTAGACCTGCCAGTAAAGTTGCTCAACTAGAGCGGAGAACTAGGAGGGGGTGGGGGATATGTAAGGAAACGGAGGACTCCTGTAGTCTGGGCGAGAGCACTGGACCCAGAGGCCCCTGATGCGGGTCCCCGCGCCACCTTTGTCTGCAGTGCGCTCTGGGTGCCGGTTTGCTTGTTGAGATGGGAGCGACAGACCCCATTTCGCTCTTCAGGGTGAGAAAAATTACTGCACATCCCTGCCGGTTCAGAACAGGCTTTTCCCGCCCAGGGGCCTCCCAGACCTCCGCGGAGCTCCAACAACCCCACCCCCCATCCTCTGCTCCTTGCCTGCTGGCCCCTTCGCACCGCGCGCAGGACAAAAGAACCCAGGGGCGCCGGGAGAGAACCGTGACAGTCCCCAAGTCGTCAAAGAGACACGGCGGGGATCCTGCACCTCCCCCGGCCAGACCTCCTCCCAGACTGCCTGCGGTCTGAAGGGGTCAGGTCCGCGCAGGTCCCAGGCTGCTTGGGCGCCGGGTCGCACTGTCAGGAGCTGCCCGGGAGTGGCTTTCCAGGAACACCAGGCACTGACCACACACCAGGGGCTGGGAAACCAGGTGGCCTGCACCAAGGCGGCTTCGGGGACTTGTCTGTGGCAAGTCTTGGTAGTCCCCATTCAAACTTTTGCCTCGAGCGTGTTAAGAACAAAAAAAAAATCAAAGTGCCAAAGGTCCCTCTCTTCTCTCCAGCTCAAGAACCCACCACTTTTCTATGATTTCTCTACAATTTATTCCCTCCCTTCCCCCAATTCCGTTAGTCATTTTACCCCCACTCCACCCTGCGTTTCTTTTGTCTGAATCTTTTTCAACACCAAGGTCCCTCTGTATCCCTCTCCCCAAAAGCCCTTTTGAAAGTTACCTGCATTTTTTAAGTGCCTACATTTTCTTAACTTCGCCTTACAGCTCCTTGCCTTAATTAAAGCCTACCAATTGCAATGTACTTCTTTTTTCTAAGATCGCGGGGTTTTTTCTATAAGTTTTTTTGGTTTTGTTTTTTAAGGGGGGAACAAAAGAAACATGATTACCTTCGAAGGCGGCTTATTGCAGTTTGGGGGGAAAATTCACTGCAGCGCTGCGCGACTGGGTTCGGCGTTGCCCAGGCGGGTCACATAGGAAGCGTGGTGGCCCAGGGAAGGGTGCGGAGGGTGCGGGACGGTGCTGGAAGATGCGGGAGGATGCGGGGCTGGCCGAAGATCTTGGTCCCAGCTCCTGTCCACAACACCTAATGTTCTCGGTTGTTGCGTCCGCACGCCTGGAGTTCTTCCCCAGAAAGGCTCGGGGCAGCTCGCCTGCAAGTTCAAATGCGGGTTGTGACACCCATCATCATTATATCACTGTACCGTCAGAGCCGAGGAGGAGACTCAGAGAGAAGAAGGAGGAGGGAGAGGAGGAGGGTTCATTCACAGGCTCCAAAAGCGCTCCACAGCTTCAGCCACTCCTAAGAGCCCAGGCTTGGAAAGCAGGCGGAGGGGCGGAAAGGCAGCTCCCCGCGCCTGCGGTAGGGACCGCCTGCCTCCCTCCCCAGGCACTCCCACCTCTTGGCGTTTCTTCCTGACAAGAAGTACCAATCGGCTTGGGGACAGCAGCACTCCCCATTCAGGCACTCACTCAGTAACATCGCTCTGCTCGCGGAAACCATTGCCCTCCCACTCCTTCCCCACCCCCACTTCCCCGCCCCCCGTGCAGCTAGTTCTGGGTTAGGGGAAAGGAGCCCCCAGGCTCTTAGGGGGCAGGCCAGCAATAGACAATTGAGTACGATCACTTCTTCTCGGGAGCATACAAAACTGTAAAATCAGCAAAGAACTTGGTTACAGCGTGTTTACGCGCCCACAGAGCTTGCCTGTCCCATCAAAGGGAAGTGTCAGGCTCAAGGCTCCTGCCAACCTGAAAGAGACACTAAGAAAACGAGATCCTTCGGAGACCTAGAGGGAAAGTGTAAGAATTCCCCACTGCACTCCCAGGGAACTGCCCAATGGGGAGCCCGGCGTCAAAAGACCCTGGTAATAAAGGGCTGGACAGGAAATTCCCCCAGGCAAATCCCTTGTCGAATTCAAAGAGAATACTTTTCCTCCGCCACAAATCTCTCCCCACATAAGTCTAGATTCTGCTTTCTTCGTTCTTCCTTTCATTCAGTCTTTCCAAGTATCTCTGAGTACAATATTTGATAATTTTCCTGAGTAACAGGGACTTCTTGGAAGTATCAATCACCTTTCATGCTGTCAGGAAATAAGACCATAATCTTTCGTGCGTTTATGCGATTTTTTTCTTCAGTGAGGCCCATTCCACTGTGTAAACGGCATCAACACATGGAAGAGTCCCGTGCATTGTGCTACAAAAGATTTCCAATAGGACCTTATAGAGCAAAGGGTCAAACAGTTGACACAAAGGATTTCTGTCCCCTTAGAAAAGAGGGACTTTAGATTTTCCTTTTCTTTGAAGTCAAGTATGAGTTTATACAATAGGAACAAAATAAATCCAAGGTGCACATCAGTATAACACTAGGGATACTAGAATGGGTGGCAAACTTTTCCTTCTACACAAATAAGAAAGTATCCTCACAACTCTCCTCTCTGAAGCCTCTACTTAGAAAATTATATTAAACATGGGACCTCAGAACAGTAGTGATTAAAGATGAAAGCCAATTTTTCCTCTCAACTCCTTTGATTAGTTTGGTTTAAACTTACACTTTAAAACTCTTAGTAACCTAGACTCTTATGCATGCACATTTATAAGATTTCTTTTATATTTTGTAATTTGTAGGCATTCAGCGTGGTCATTGATTTTAAGTGATAAACAGGTAGAAGACTTGTCAGGATGATTTCAGGTCTCACAATGTGCATCTTTCATTTCTTTTGTTATTTATCAGCTCACTGCCGTGAGTAACATAACTATCAGTTACATCATTTGGAAATCGATTTGTTTTTGCAGTGAATTATTTATTCTTAGTAAATTTATTGTACTACCATTGCAAACATTGAAATTTGATTTCATCAGATATTTAGAATGATAGTCACAGAGCAGAATCAGACTTCAACCTTCATGTATAACATGTAAGCAAACTAAGGTGCAGAAAGTGACTGTCCCAAGGTCACACCATTAATAGTCCAGTCGTCTTTTCAGTGCTTCTCATAGCAACTTTAGATTCAAGATTGCTTGATTCAGGAAGGGGGAGAAATAAAATAAAATGAATCTTCATGGAAATAAATACTCCAGACATTAAGGTAGACCTTTCTGTGAAACACTCCAAGATACGGATTTTTATTCTCTTTCTTAAATTTGAGTAAATCTAGTTGAGCTTCAAAGAGTTCAAGTAACCTGCCCAAGGCGTTTTTGTGAGTGACAGATCTGCCAGTCTGAAAAGTTTATTATCTATTATCCTTTTGTCCCTTTATGATACAGTTAAGTAAAACCTTTCAACAAAGGAGAACTAGAGCAGAAACAAGCAAGTAATAGCAGATTAATGCCCATTTTTAGGGAAATGTTAATAGTTAAAATTCTCTATAAATAATGCCATCTGTACATAATGGAACATGGTTGAAAGTGATGGGTTAGATACTTTTTACATTCTGGGATGTTTTCATTTATGTTGCCAAATTTGATTCTCTAGTCCTCCAAAATTTACAGTTTCTTTTAATGCCAAGAGATATCACAACCCTTGACCGAATAGTTCTACAGGACAAAGGCACTTTCTCAGAGCTGACTTAAGGAATTAGAATATGCACAATGTTGAAAAGCTTTATACTGCCTGTCTTCTCTCTTCTTTGACTTGTAACATTATTATTCAGAAAATTAAATACTTCTTCAGGTTATCAGATAACTAAAATGAAATTATATCCCATGGAGATCTTCTTTCTGTCTCTAGGGCAGACCTTCCCCTCTAGCTATCTAAAATAGAGAATGGATAAAAAAGAAAAAGGAAAACATACCGGGTATATTAAGAATAGAGTCTACGGTTGTATTATTATTTCTATGTAACTGTTTTTAATGACTTTCTTTCATCAAGAGAAAGAAAATGAGAGAGCATTTATTTCTGATTCTCCAATGCCTGACAAAACTATCAGAAGTTTTTGAATGGGAAAATATATTTTTTTCAGGTTTTATAACTAAAATTGTATTTATTTGTCCATTACACTCAAGTATGAATCAAACAGTAATTAAAATCTTATTCCGTGAGTCCCCCTTTAAATCATGTCCTTGTACTGGGGATATTCTTTATGAAAACTCCAAGATCCCAGGTATAAATAAAGCAAGATCTTCATTCACAATGCTTGTGTCTGAAAGAAACCATAAGCCAGAAGCTATGTGCCTTGCTTCCTTGCTTTGATCTTGTCTTTGGGATCTTGGCTGAGCTCAGGGGCAGCAAGCCAATGACTTGGAGAGGAAAGGTGTAGATGGCAGATGTGTCTCCAGGGAATTTTATTATCTTCATCTAAACCTCCTTCCGAGGTTCTTTAGGATCACATTTCAGACTTCTCCTTTTTTATTGATCAGGTGAACTGCTCTTAGACATGGCATCATCTATTGCTGCTCTAGGGATGACAAGATTCCAGTACCATTCAAATTCAGAAAACAAAGAGCTTAGTTTCAACTCCTTGATCTGACTGGTCCTAGGCACGATGAAGCAAATTATCCTCTCTGGATGATGCAATAATGCTACAGATTAAAAAATGTACTTTTATTAACTTTCAAAGACCCTAGAAAAAGGAAGCTCATCCTCTAAGATTGTGTTATAATTTTAAAAAAATAAAATAAAATAAAACACTACAGATTAGGGACAGACATTTTATCCAGCACTTTGAATTCTCTTTGGCTTTCTAGGAAATACAGAAATATAAGGTCTTTGTTGCCTTCTTTTTATTCTTAAAAAAGAAATCTTGCAAAAGGCAAGGTGAAGGTGGCAATCTCATTGTGCTTTAACCTGAAGTATAAAATTGGTCTGATAAATTAAACACAGACAAATTTCCTCAGAAAGCCATAAAACATTAGATTTTTCCCAGAAATCAGATATTGAGTTTTTGCTCGCCAACCCCCAAATCAAAATGTTACAGTAAAATGTTTGTTTTAATAAATTTTTTTTCTCCTATGCTGTAAATGTCCTCTTCATGGTTGAGCAGATTTCTCTAGAACTTAACTGAAAGACCATCTACATCACGACAGAACTATGCAAGCCAAAGCCAAGTTCCAACATGGAGTGATGGGAGAGGCCGGGCTGCCGAGAGGAGATGACTTCATTAGTGAGAAGAGAGGCTCTCTGAGTCTGTCCTCAAGGCAGCCAAATGGCTCAGCACATCTGCACTCACCCTGGGAGGCTGCCTGGAGCAGAGCATCAAAAACGCTATCTTTTTTATAAAGAAAAAGATGAAGGCATAAAGAACGCAGTCCAACTAAATTGAATCAAAGATTGTATCACTCTTACTCCCTCCTTAGTCACTTTCTCAAAGTCTTTTTCTTCCCTCCCCACAGTCTGAAAAATATAGGTCATTTTTATAAAGCATTTGTCTGACTGGAGCAAGACAAACTGAAGAGTCTGGTTTCTGAACACAAGGAAGCGGTAGAGATCTTAGAATCAATGAGGCAGGGCGGAATACAATGCAGAAGGTTTCTTAAGAGGCAAAACTTTTGCAGTTGCTGTTTATTTTCAGTGACTACCAGTTTCCATGTATTTAATTGACTACAGTGGGACCGAGACAAGGAGCATAAGGAAAGCTGCATGATGCAAAAAGACACATGCCATCATTAATGTCTCTGTGGTGAGCAAAGGTAGAATGCAAGACAGAAAACAAGGAAACCTCTATGTTGTGAGAAAAGTGTTCAGCATGGGTATCAACTAGCACATAGAAGTAGCAAGCATACATTCCATTTTTATTCTATTGACAAAAAGAATTGCAGGACTAATGCTTGCTCCCATTAAAATATGAGAAATCACATTTTAACCCTACAAATCAAAGGTCAAATATTTGTTGTAATAATTCCCCCCAAAAAAGAGAAGATCTGTAAGACTCAGCAAATACTTATTATAAACAGACTGCTTTCAATTTTTTATATTTTCTCTCTTCAATTCAACAAAAGTTTATTGAGTACCTTTTATGTGCATTGTTTTAGATAGTAGGCATTATTCAAAAAAGTAACAATTATTTTCCATCCTTAAGGAGTTTATAATCTCTCTAGAAAGAAATTAACTCGTTGGAGTAGCCAAAGTTACAACTGATCTACAAAATGACTAGTGAACTTAGAGGAAAATTATACATAAATATTTTTGTCTCCATTGGCTGGTTCAGCTAGACATCATTTAAAAAAACATCCCATTGACTACAAATGGATGAAGGAAGGATGATAGTTCAGCAAATCTATCTCCCTTAGTGGAAAATCTTTTTCATGCACATATGTGATTAACACTGAATCCCACACACTAACTTTATTGCACGTGACAAAATCATGTTTCTTATTTTCTTATAATATAGTTGGTAAAATAACAACATGTTATTTTACTAACATGTTGGTATATATATTTACCAACTATATACATTGGTGTATGCAATATAGTTAGTAAAACGACAACATTTTACACATAGTCAAACA